TATTCTGTTTCACTTTTCAGCGTAAATAATACTATTATAATTAAACTATATTATTATTATTATTGATATTATTATGATGTAATTTGAACTAACAATATGCTAGGTGTACAACGCGAATAGTACTATGCCGGTGACATAATATAGTCGTAACCGTTATTATTCTTCAGGATTGTCCTACCAAGCGCCGGATATATTAATATTATTATATTATCGTAACAAAGAGATACTTTCTTCGTAAATATAACATCGTTTTAAATTGTATTTTTTTCTTTAATCTGTATAATATTCATCAGTTTCGATTGTTTGTGTTTAGAAAACCCAAACGTGGACCACGTACAACAATAAACTCATTAACACGCCGTACAATAATTATGATAATAATAATACAAACATGCGGCTGCGTACACACAATGGCGTTAATAGTATTTATTAATAATTCATAATTATAATATAATATCGCTATTATTATTCTAGAAACGGAAAAAAATTGTTAAAAAAAAATCCTAGTCTAAAGAAATCGTCAAGACTTACTGCATGACAAAATAAAAAAGGTAATGCTCACAGAAACGCCGTTAAACCAGTATATAGTATCCGAACAATACGCGGCCTTAAGCTATTGCGAAGTCGAACCAATTGATATGTAAGTTTGTTTTTGTCTTCTTTTCACGTACAAATTGTTTCCATTCTTCAAACAAATCAACAATTATATCCTGTGAGTACCTTTGATTCCTACCTATTCTTCGGCTACACGTAATTATTTACACAGTAATTATATTTTACGCATGTTTTCAGAGGTGTGTACAAGAAATACGGGTGATTTTCGTTAATCGTGTTTTCAATGATTATGAATCTATAATCTTCTAAAATAAAGATAGTTTTTTAATATCATCATGTGTTGTTATTATTTATCGAGTATTTAAACTATAATGGAGTGTGTGTGAAAATAGTATCGGTTTACACGATTGGCCGGGAAAAATTGAACTGGGCGAGTTTTAAAGACTTACTTCTTTTTTTACAGAGCCAAAACAATTTACCAGAAATTATTCAGAGAAACTCCAAAATCTGCATAAACATCAAATTATGTAARAAATGTTACAAAATTATAGTAAGATTAGTCATTTAAATTTCAATTCAGCAGCATGCCAAGCATTTTTATCACTCCTGGTATCTACTCTTGCGCTTTTTTAATCATGAAATTAGTAAGATTTATTTACAGTCAAATACAGTGTGATC